ACGCAACGTTCCTGCGTAATTTTCGTCCGCTCTCCTGCCCGGCCGCTGCACGCACGCACGCACGCACGCTCTACTGCATGTATGCGCTGTCTAAAGTTCGACACAACTGCGCGCGAGAGGCCACCACCACCACCACCTGTTTTAGTTGATGCGGTCGCTGTGTACTTGTACTAGTGAACGGGTGGGTTTCACACTCCACAACACCTCACACGCCTGCGTGCGTGCATTAGGAGAGGGGGTCTGTGATTTCAAAGGGTCGCGCTCAAGCTTACTAAAAAAAAATTATCACCCTCCACTTGCCTGTTCAAAGCACCATGCGCACTGAACCAAGGCGCACTAAACCAAGCGTTCGAAAGCGACGAGGCGGGGGGGGAGGCGGCAAAATTACTTCATAGGCAGTTTGAAGCAAAGACCAGGATTACACTGCTTGGTTGGCTTTGTTCAATCAAACCCATCTCCAAACTCAGTCAAGGCGAAAGAGTTGGACAGGAATCTTAAAGCTTTACCAGATACCATATTCAAGTACGCAAGTGTTGTGGACTGAAACTGAAAACATGTAGGCCCTTGCGTGAGAAAATGGCGCCTCACGAATTGAGGCGAAGGCTCGCATCCGAGTTACGTGTATAGATTGAGAAGAATGAGCTGGGTCTATAATGTGTCACTCGGTCGAACAGCCAGCTTATGCTCGTGTATGCGCGAACCCAGATTGCGTCCAGTCTGTCGCTAGTGGCGGCCCATACCTACGAGACGAGTCAAGAGTTCAACTTCGCAACCGCGAGGATAATTGCCCACGCTGGCAGCAATATGAGCCGAGAACTGATTGAAGCCTGGGCATCGGATGACAACTCAGTTAACCGATGTATCGAGCTGGCGCCCGCATATGTTGCGCTGCGCAGGTATCTCCAGACTCACGGCACTGGCGGTTAATCGGTCCTCTCCCCCTTCCCCCACCTCCCCTATGACGTTTAATTGACCCTCCCCCTATAAATTTTGCTTGTTTTCGTTGACGAATTATTTCTGTAAATATTCCCACCCAACGCACCGATCTCGCCTACTTGCGTGGACTGACATAGTCCACAGGGGCCAATCGGAGCCCACACCAGATAATTATTTATTTTCTACACTTTCAAACTTTTGTTTTGTACGCACGCCATAACTAGCCCCCATTTGATGCTTTTTTCCCACCTCTAACGATGGACTCATGTAGGAGTTCGAAAGCTCCGACCGATAAAACTAGAATTCCGGTGATTGGCACAAATTCTTCTCAATTTAGAGGTCTGTTCTACTTATGAGATGTGGCAAGGACTGGCAATCATCGAACTCCGACTGCAAGCTCAATCTTTCACCGCTCGCGGCTGTTGGCATCTGTGCACCAGTGTTTACCTGCCCCAGTTCGGTCTGGCCAATCACCTTCAAGGCTGACTGACACAGAGACCCAATCTGACGTTTGCCACACCCTCGGACTTCGAACGCGAATCTCCCGCGGGTGGCCGACTCTTAACTTCATTCAACCCAATCTTCACTACCTATGTGCAGAATAGACTAGTCCTCCAGCCTGGCGTCTCATTGCTTCACTTTTACTTACAGAACCGGACCTGAAGATCGTACCGACAGGAGTCTTAAATCACTTAAATCACTGTGATAGGCTTCCCTTTTTTGCATATGAATTCTAGTAAGGTCATTGAAACCAATTGATTGTTTAATCACCGACACCGCCGTATTCTTGCATGATTAGCTTAGTAGGAGCGACTTCAAAGGTCCTTAACCAATTTGACCAATCGCATAGGGAACTGTGGACTGTTGGTGCTTACCAGGAAGGCCTGACTCAGCGCTCTCGGCAGTGCTCGCGTGGGCTCACACAGACA